TTCTCTTTCTTTCTTTCTTTCTTTTTCTTTCTCTCTCTCTCTCTCTTTCTTTCTCTTTCTTTCTTTCTTTCTTTTTCTTTCTCTCTCTCTCTCTCTTTCTTTCTCTTTCTTTTCTTTCTCTCTCTCTCTCTCTCTTTCTTTGTCCTTCCTTCCTCCCTCCCTCCCTATCATCTATTAAACAAATTTATGTAGCCACCTGTCTACCAAAAGAAACTCTGGGCAGAGAACAAATTAAAATACATTAAAAACAGCAATTTAAAATAATAAACTGCATTGAGGCCCCAGTAAAAGCTCGCATCCACCCACCAACCACCCTGTGTCGGCTCTGTAACGATTGGGGGAAAAGTCGGGTCTTTACGACTTTCCTGAAGGCCAAGAGGGTTGGGGCCATCCGTATCTGTGGGACAGGCTGTTCCATGAGGCAGGCGCCATGGCAGAGAAGGCACGCTTCCAAGGCCCCACCAGGTGACACTGCTTCACCAAGGGCAGAAACCACTGGGGATAAGTGGCCCCGCAAGTAATCTAGCCCCATGCCATGTGGGTGGTAAAGGTGACAACCAGCACCTTGAATTGCACCCAAAATCCTACTGGGAGCCAGCGCAGCTCAAGCAGCTGTTGTGCTATATGGAGGTGCCAAGGTGCACCCACTACTGTCCATGCTGCATCATTGTGAAATTGTTGAGTTTGATCGTCATGGCAAACCACCATCCTATGTGAAAGTGTCAAAATTAAGAGCTTATCATTGACATCCCCAACAGGAGAGATTGAGGGTGCCCTTCCCTATTTTTTTCTTTTCAGTTTGGTGTGTGGAATCTGGCAACCCTCTTTGCTTATCTTTTTGTTAGGAGAGTCTCGGCTGGCATAATCTGGATCCAGAACAGATCCTGAAGGACTTTCATCAATATGTAGGGATTGCCTTGAATCCAGGTATGCTGTTTCAGAAGAATTAGCTAGTGTAATGGGAATTCAGTGCAGAGATAGGCAACTGTTTTGGACTGGACATATTTAGAATAAGAGAGTACGTCATGAATGCTAAAAAAAAATGGGATGGACCTTATGGCTTCACAAAATAATTTCTTTAGTGGGTTGTGGCTATTTACTGCGGCTATTCAGTTAGCAGAAAGGACCTGATAGGGAAGGTCTGTGGAACCTTCAACCTACCCGTCTTTCTTTTGGAGATGGGCAGACTTGCAAACTATAACCCTGCACTATCAACCACTTCATTGTTCAGAGATATGTCATCCAGATACATCTTTGTGAATAAAGGTGATGCTAGAAGCTAGCATTTTGCAATGTGTCAAGCACCCTATTTGTCTTTGAAATAAAATAGTTTTAGAAAAGTAAAGCCAGATGTGGCCTGGTTGGTTTATACTTTCATTAAGGCCAATCAAAATAGTAGAGAGGAGCATGCAAGTTCTTCATCGGGCCAGATGTTACAAAAAATGTTGTTTGTGAGTAAAACTTAGCGACTCCTAGCCAGGCAGTTTTTTAGATGCTTTTAGTGTGTGAATAGTCAAATTCTCTTCCAAAGACATCAACCTGCCAGCTTTGTTCTCAAAATAATAGCTGTTGTTATTATTTTTAAAATGCATACACTACCCAACTCCCAACAACCCTGAGATAGAAAGTTAACAGGCTTCTCACTGTATCAAGATACCATATAAAGTTGTACCTGCTGGGATGAAGGTTGATCTGTTCCCCAGGTCTTAAACGGGATTGTTCTTGAAATCCACGACAGATTCTCCTTGACTTTCTTCTATTTCTCTTTCCCACCTCCCTAGAGTACACCCATCCTCGACAAAATGGTAAGTCCAGAAAGTATAAAATGTAAATATTTTTCTTTTGGGAGAAAATGCTTGAGGGATTGGATTGGGCTTCACTTGTCCTATGGCTAGTTTACAGGGTTTTAAAAACAAAAGCAATGACTACAGATTATAAAACCGTAAAACTAAACTGCATTCCTTAAATTTATACTGGATTCCTCCTCAACCGTTAGATCCTGTTTTCCAACGTCGGCTTTTCCCCTCCCGAGTACCCAGCATACATAACAGGATGAGAGGTGAGCTGATTTTTTTTTTTTATTGCCCATTTCTTCAAATAGGAAACATTCAGCATGAGCAGATACAACATCTTTGTTGTCCTTTCAGTTGCTGGTCTATAAAAATTAGCTGGCCACAGATTAACAAATTTTAAAATTATCTTAGAAACCCTGCATGGCAAGAAATGAGCCTTCGCAGAAATGAATCCGATTATGATTAGAAGCAGACTCTTCCAGTAGAAGGAATGCCTTGTAATATCCCCAAGACTTTCATTTTTTTCTGACTTTGAATTTCAAATGAGTTCAGTTCCATTCCCACTGTTGGCATCTTTACTTCCTATTCAGTTAGCCTTTAGATCTGCTATTGTTTTTACTAGTTTTTCCCCCCACTGTGCAATGCAGTAATGGTTATAACTCAGGGCTGTGCACTGCTTTGGGTACTCACCCAAAGAAAGGCAATGATGAAATTACAAGTAGGTAAGTGATTCTTCCTCTCTGCAAATGAATACCCAGGATATGGCTTCCCTCTGACGCATTTCTAGAGAACATCAAATTGGAGATGTTGGATTTGAGTGGTCCAGCCATCCAGTTGGCTTTCGACGAAGGGAACGAAATTGTCCCAGTGAAGCTGGTGCCCGCCATTCGGGGGGTAATGAAGTTCTCCAATGAATGGATAAGGGAAGATCTCAACCACCTTTCTGACTGGTGGGACGGTGACCTGAGCAACGAAAAGAAAAGCTTCTTCCGGAAGGTAGAAGCTGTTATGGAAGTGGGGCCAGAGCTCATCCCTAAGGAAGGATTCTGGAGGTACAAACAACCTACTCAAGTTGGCCAGAGGGATGGGGTGGCCGAGGCTAAGGCAGCGCAACAAGAGTTTGCTTGAAGCACCACAGGATGCCAGGCAGTGATGCAAAATAGATGGGGCCACATTACACATCTGAACAGGGCCAGGATTCTCCACTGGAGCCTCAGATTGCTCGTGTGTGTCTTAAAACAAAAAAAAGTTTTAAGTATTCGTTTGCCAAACATTTGCATCTTTGCTTTTAATCCAGTTCTTGAACCCTCATCTAAGGAGGCTATGCCCATGCATCTCCCTAAATGAAAGGATGGCCACGCTCCTTGATTCACTGGAAAGCCTCCTCTGAGAAGCCCTGCCTTTCTGCCGCTCTCTAGTTGCTAGCAATTCCCATCACATCCAGGCAACCCATCTACTTTGAACAGTTCCAAAAAAGATGCTTCCTACTGCAAAGAGAGGCCAATCTAGTGCCTATCTGGAAGCAGCTGCATCTTCCCCAGGGCCCCACTTTTTAATTTTTTCTGCCCAAGTTAAGAAAGAAGGCAAGCTGCAAACTTATGATACATAGAAAGCTTGAGCTGGGAACATACTTCTAAAGCTCCTGCTTGCACAAGTATTGCAGTATTCCTAACCACCCTTTCCCCCCGGTTCTAGGCTGTCTTTCAGCTGTGCCGAGGCTATGATCCTTGAGGAAGTTGATGCCGATGGAGGACAGAGGCGGGCAGCTTTACGACTGCTTAAATTTGTTAACAAGACTAGATGGACCCCAGAGTATGGCAAAATCTTGACTTCCTATCATCTTAAGGTGAATCTGCTGAACTAACTGCATGCTAGGCCAGATTAAGCCCCCACCTCGCCCCCATAAAGATACAATGAAATTCCCCATATAGTCATTTATTGTCCTTTCAGTATGCTCCCGTCCAAACCCTTATTAGGCATGTTGATTATCTTCACTGGTGTACTTGTATAAATGTACACACAAACTCATTTCTAACCCACACGGGAGCATCTAAAATTGTGTAGCGATTACTGATAGCTGTAAAAAAAAAAAAAACTTCCCTTCTGCAGTCACCTTTCCCTCCCTGCTGCCTTGGTATGTGTGTGTGATAGAAGCAGCTTTACAAGACTTAGTCCCAACAGCATCAATTGCCAACTTCTACTTTCATAATCTCGTAGCTCCTCCTCACTCCACTCTGCAAAAAAGCCATTGCACTGCCCAAATTTCTTTCCTCCTGCTTCTTGTTGACCTAAACCTAGGAACATGGAGATTGACCACACCCTTGGACATCATGAAGCCTGAACCTCCAAAGTCAACGTAAGATCTAAGATGCACTCTGTTGCTTTTCCTCTCTTGCAGACCATTTTGCTGTGGTGCTGTGAGATCTATTACCACAAAGAACACTGGGAGACTCTGCTGTCCTCTCTAGAGACTCTCGTGGGGCTGCTAAAGCACACCCTGGCCAAGAAAAACCTTCCTCATTATTTCCTCCAGTCTCTCAATCTCTTCAACAAACACTACAAAATCAGCAACAGCACCTACTGGCCCTTAGCCTTGGAGGTCCTCTGCTACGAGGTGTCAGCCATGTTGGCAGATGCCACGGCCTACCTTGTGCCGGGCCATGAATCGCCAGACTGCTTGGTCAACAAAGACCGTGAAGAGAAAGCCGCAGCTCTCCAGGAGTTCAAAGAAAGGCATCAGGAAGAACTGAAAGAGCTCAAGAGAATGGAAGATGAATGTATGTATGAGGAAGTGGAAATTACTGAAGAATAAACCCTGCTGAGCTTTCTTAGGGAACAAGCTGGCTTCTGCTGCTATAAAACTTGGCTTTGGTCCCAGGCCTGGGGTTAATTATGGTTAGGGGTTGTGGGGGTGTTCAGCCTGGTTTGATTTGTGTCATTTTTAGATTGTCTTAGCCTGGGCTGTCAGTATGGTTTTAGGTTTTATCTGTTTTTATGGATTTTTTTTTTTTTTGGTTTTGTATGCCACCCAGAGTCCGTTGGAGTTGGACAGCTGTAATAAATTTAAATAATAAAAAATAAACTTTTCCTCCATTTCAAGGAATTCTGTTTCCATTGCAAAGTAAGTTCCAGTCTTCATGATCGCAGAGGAAAGAGGCTGAAACTGTATATGTAAATTCTGGCAGAAGATCCAAGAAGGGCTTCAAACCCAAGAGTTTTATATCCTGAACATCTTCCTCTCTTGGCTGTTCTCTCCCCACCTTCCACTGCTGGTCCCAGATGAGAGCCAGTATGGTAAGGTAGCAAGAGCAGAGGAAGGCTACATATGACCCCCCCAGCATCCAGCTGGTAGCCCCAAGGCAGCCCAAGGCCAGACTGCCAAACTCGTAGTGGCAAAACGGCCAATTTTCAAGAGTAAGATTTGTGGAATTTCCAAACACACCTCTCTAGTAAGGGTGGAAGTGGGAGCGGGAAGCTGTCTGGAGGCCTCTTAACTTCTACATTTTGCTGCCAAATTCCGGCAGTGTGATTTCAGCTGTTTGGGGGGGGGGGGAATCTGTGCAGTTTTTTAAAGGTATGAACTGAAGTAATTAAGAAGAAATTGTAAGAAAGTTCCCATTACCATTCCCACCCTTAAAAAGCCAACAGACAGACAGATCAGAATACTTGTTGAAATACTTGTGAAAATAAAAAGGAAACCATAGATGAAAATACGTTTAAGTGTTAAAAAACGGGCGGTGATTGTTTCCATGTATTCATGAATAGATTCAACAGTCCAGTCCTGTGGTGAAACATGCAGATCAATAGTAGAATTAGGACGTCCACTTTCAGAAAATATAGGTGATTTTCAATTCCTTTCATTCACTTTCATATTAAGGAATCCTGTGTAAGGTGCCTGTTTTTCGAGTTTCTTTCACAGCCTAGTGGGGGAGCAACCCCCTCGTAGGCAACAGCACTTGCTTCTCAGAAAGGAGATGTTCCCTATGATACCAGATTTGAAACTAAACGAAACCAAGATTATTTACAAAGGTAAAAAAGTACATGTTAGGTAAAAGTTAGAGAAAAGGCTCGATATCCAAAGTTGGTGAAGACGTCGATGCAGTGGCTGCTTCCAGCTGCTGTCAACACCTGAAGGGGGAGAAAGAGATTTTGGGGATGGGTTTACATCAGTGTTGTCCAAACTTGGCCACTTTAGGATGAGTGGACTTCAACTCCCCGAATTCCCCAGCCAGCATGG